AAAGAGTTGGTTGTCTCTCCAGTGGAAAGACAAATACCAGTTATTTCAATTTTTTCATGAAATCTAACTCCATACGTATAAATCTTTTTCCATACATTGTGGACATCAATGGTCGAAAGAAATGTTTTCCAAGACTGAGATTTAGCATCAGAAAGCTTTTGATTGTACACTTTTCTACATTCAAGGTATTTACCTTTATAAAGTTTTCTAAGAGGCGGATTTTTACAATGCTGAAATCTACACCTAGAGGCATTAAGCCTCTTTCTCATACAAAAAATTTCAGTAGACCCCCAAGGAACATTGTGCTTATCATGATTCCTAACAGGTATGGAAATTAAAGATGCCTGGAGAAGAACAGAACTAAGATTCTCAACAAGAGTATTTAGGCAAGAACCGTGACTACAGTCGTTAAGAATATTAATGAAATGGGTGACGCGAGAAGAACAAAATTTTCGAAAATGATCCCAATTTCCTCTCCTTTGTATTGAAGATTTTAAAAGGAATATTTGAGGTCTCTCGTAAGAACGTAGAGGGGCAAAGTTCAAATTCAATCATCATGTGGTCAGAAAGGGAATCTTTTTCAGACAGCCGCCAACTCGAAACATTCTGGAGAAGATCTGAGAAAATAACAGTAACATCAATATAACTAGAATCTTGAGTTGCCTGAAACATAGGTCCATGATCTTCATTAATAACAAATAGATTGTTGGCAGAAATAAATTCACTCAGTTATCTCCACGAGAATCTGAATAGGGACTAAACCATAATTCAGATCTGCCATTAGAGTCCATACACCAAACCAGTCGATTAAGATTTTTGGACATAAAGACTTGACTAATTTTATGAAGATCTAAATCAATGTTTCTTGAGAGTTCAAAATAGTACGAAAAAAAGAGTGAGCACAGTTGTGCCAACAGTAATATCCAAGGTGACTATACTGTAATCCGTATTTTTATAATCAAGAAATGTTGATAGATCACGTGATGGAATGATGATTGCAGCCTTTACATTGTCAGAATTAAGATCATAATAAAGTCTATAAAAGTGCCAGGGTATCTTGGAAGAAAATTCTTATAATAATGAGGTTTCTGAACCAAAGCACAATCAATATTATCAGCTTCCATATTTAAAATGAGCTGTTGTGTCGCAGATTTAGATTTATGAAGGTTTAACTGCACACACTTTAGAACGTGTCGAGTCAATCTAGCCATAATCAATTCGAGAATGAATGTTCTTTCTCATAAAATCACAATTAGCACAGCATTTTGAAAAGGGCTTGTGATTAACATTCACATTTTTATGGCTGTTATTTGTTTTATGATTGAAGCGGATGCAATTTATACAAGCTACAGCATTCATATTCGAACAATCCTTTGCTTTGTGTTCTCCAGAGCAGTTAAAACAGGCTGTTCGCTCTCGACATTCATCAGCACGATGGTCATGAACAAGAGCGATATCAATGTTAGAATTTTCCATATTAAAAACAAGCTGCTGAGTAGCCATTTTCAAACGATGAAGATTAAGTTGAATAATTTTAAGAACAGAAATGGGAAGTTACCCATAATTAATTTGAGAAATAATTCTATTCTTCATAAAAATACGAGAAGGACAATTTTCGCAGAAAGGCTTATGCTTGACATCAACTTTCTTGCCAACATCCTTGATTTTGCTATTATAACGAATGCAATTTACACAAGCTTGGGTTTCTTGAGTTTGGCAGTGCTCACTTTTATGTTCTTTTGCACATTTGAAGCAAGCAACAGAATTTCTGCAGTTAGCTCCTTTGTGATTATAGCCAAGGCATTTAAAGCATCTATTTATTATGATAAACTCCTCTACTTTACAAGCCAACCACTCAAAATGCAAATACCCCAAAGGTAGGCATTTTCTGTATAGCTCGGGTTTCATTTCGACAACAATATGCTTCGAGTTTTGGAATTTTTTAAGAGTAAAACAGAATTTCATGTCATTAATACATTCATTACCATAAAAAATATCAGGATTTTGATCAAAGAGAACAGTTAATACATCTTTATCATCAATTTCATTTGGCACATTTTTAATAAGTAGAGCACAATTTTTCTGTCTTGGAAGAGAAGAAATTAGTTCAAGTTTGTTGTTGATTTCGTCTTTTTAGTTTATCACGATCAGTTGAGGCATTGCACTAAAATTCTGCTATTAAAAATCATCCTAATATTTTTTATACTTAATTTCTTTTCTGTAGGATCAATTTTTTCCTTCAAAAGTTTTTTAACATCAAGGGATGTAAAGTTTTCCAATCCCGCAGCTGCTGAAACAAGCAAATTACAGTCATTTGACTGTTTGTTTATATTTTCTCCCCTAGATGGGGATACCACCTCAGCATAAGAAGGTCTCATAACAGAGGTTTTCAAACTTGCCACACAAGCTTCGCAATAATTAGCAGATTGTAATCTTTCAAAATTTTTAATTATAAAAGATTTTAACTCACCCAAAGCAGTCCTAGGACGTTCACGCAGTTCACCGTTCATACTACATTTAGATGCAAGTGCTGTGTTGATAGTATAATAATGTTTTTCAAGAGACGCGTAAAACGCGTCAAGCTCTTTATCCGCCATGCTGAACATGCTAATGAACCATCTCGCATGGTACCGATTTTATAATGCTTGCATCTTCATCAAAAAAGAAAAAATCCAAAAAGAAGCACAAATATCTACACCAGAACGAATAAACTTTCAAAATACCACAAAATAAGGATTACACAAGTAATATTTATTGATAAATAAGCAAATTTGTAGAGAGCTAAGCCAACACCATACAACATGGACGGCGAATACATATCTTTCAAGAATAATTTTGTTTTTCTTTATGTATTCAGTTTCTTTCTTCCATGTTTATTTTATTTTTTTTTTTTTTTCAATTTTAGAATTTTTGGATTTAATTAAAGATTGCTGATATTCTAAATAAACTAAATGCATTTAGAATGTATAGAAAAAGCTGCTAATTTTATTTCTTTAGTAATATAAACATTCAGACGAAATATAAAATATATATGGTAAGATTCGGTTAGAGAGCTGATGTGGCATAAATTTTAGAATATAGTAACACACTGAGCAATAAAGTCTAGAAATGGCAAAACTTTTAGAATTCAGATCAGGCATTGAAAGCAGATTTTAGAAAGGCACCAGGCAGCAGAATTTAAGATCCACACAGACCGAATCAGATGGGAAAATGCCTAGTGCCAGCCCCGTGTATGATGCATTAAGACATATTAGATGAATCTTTTAAATTGTCAGTTTTCAATATCTTTATTAATAAAAGAATTCCTTTCTATAATGCCTGTCCATATGATAAGATTAAAAGCATTTTTGATATTTTCCATGTTTGTGTCTAGTGAAAAAGTAGAGAAAATAAAGGGAAGATTAAAATGTTTAGAAAAAGATTCTAGTATCAGAAGTAAAACATTCAACTATAATGTTTTCATTGTTCTTCTAGATATCCTCCAAAAAGTAAGAAATTACGTGGTAATACTATGGGGACAATTTTCACTTTGTCACATTTTTCTGGAATCTTCTAGAATCGCAGGTCTGTAAATCTTGCCTTCATATCTTTCTAAACTTTTCAAGCTTTAATGTCTAAAATCATAAAAAAAATTTACCCCTATCAATTCGGTAACAGCATTAAGCCAGAAATATTTTAAAAAAAAAAAAAAAAAATCGGAGGGAAAAAATGCAAAATTAATTTTATACAGAAAATCAGTACTTAATTTCTAAAATTAAATGTGCTGGTGCCCCGTGGAATACTGTCAGGAAAGAGGTACAAAAATAAATAAATAAAAAGGCTAAAAAAAACCCTAATAATTAAAAAATTAAATATTAATTATTAAAATAATTCAATAATTAATGCTTAAAGAAATTAAATAGGGTTTAATCCTAGTATCCGGTGCACACGGGATTTGGCTACTTTTGGCGACTTTATGATGAGCAGTAAAAACCGGACATTGCGATGAGTAGTTAACGGGTCATTCAAAGAAAATATATAGTTAAACATAGTATATACTATGTATATAGTATATATGCTATGTATATACACACATAGTACTATAGTGTATGTAGTATATAGTATATATATATATAGACGTTATTTGGATCATTTTTGGTGTTGGCGATAATTTTCAAAGTCGCGCCAAGGCTGCACCGTATACTAGGATTTTACCATTAAATAGTTTAAATAAAAAAATTAAAATATGAAAAGATAAATTAAAATTTAATAAGTGACTTTCAATATAATTTTATTACTAAAAATAAACTTGTCGATATCAAATTTCTACTGAAATTTTATTCCGGTACAAAAAAGTGTCAGAGCTTTCTTATTTAGGGTGCTGGGTAGAATTATGATTTATCCCTAAAACTAAGAAATACCAGAGCAGGGCTTGGGCACAATTTAAGCTCTGGAGAAAACTGATGCATATTTTGAGAATTCTGAATATTTTGAGAAAATTACATGGGGAAAACTCTTACCATGAAAATATTAAAAATACATTTTTAATTAACTACATAGCTAGTTTGCTTTTGCTAAGAACAGTTTTGTAAATGGTGCTTTATAGCATTATACCTTGCTTATTTTCCAGATATAATAAATGGCTGAAATGGAAGTTTATAATTATCGCCTTACCAAAATGTCGCCAAACTACCTGTTACCATATTCCGAAGATTAGCCATAAAATGCTCTGGCATATTAGATTTTTGATTTTGAGAGATATCAATTACAAAAATTTTACAAAAAGTCTCCAACTAATCAAAATTGTAAAAATGATATCTAAAAATTAGATAACCACTAACATTTCTCAATAAAACTATCATTTAAATGACATTCTAAAGTACATACAACCTACATATAAGTAAAATATACACACCAGGCCTCTTAAAAAGTATTTGAATGTAAGTATTATAGCTGCAATTATTTTAAATAACTATGTTTTTGCTAAAACCTGCTAATAAATATATAACGTAAGAGCTTACAACAATTTCTTCAAGAATCCGCTTTCTTCGTGAAGATTTACTAGCTAGTACAATGCCACAGTTATTCAGATGAGTGATAAATGACTTAAGCATGATTATCCTAGAAATAAATATTATGTTAAAGTTATTATACAAAGGTATCTTAAATTTTTTTATATTTTACTAAGGAATTTTATACATACTTAATACATATTTAAAACTATATAAAAATTACACAATATTTATTAGCTACTCAAAGATATCTAATCCTACTTCTTCAAATCCGCCCCTCCACCCCCGGTGGTCGACGGAAGGAATTCTGCGAAGCTACAGGCTAGGATCTGAACCTAGGCAGTATCAGCCACGGGGGTATAAAATTTATGAACTTGGTGGTTCTGACAGGCCCAGAAAAGTCACTTATTAGCCGGCCTGGTGGTCAGGCACGTCCTAACGCGGCGTGGTTTTAGTAACCCGGGGCGGGGGGGGGCGTCCCTGGCTTCGCTGGGTAATGTCCCACTGCGACGAGCAGCCCAAGCAACTGGTAAGTAGTAAATTAATGACCAGTGAAATCTGGTAACTGCCAGGCGGTGTGCTGCTCTCTACGAGGGGCGGAAGTTGAACCTCTGCACTTTGCTCTGAAGGGAGAGTGGACTTGTACTGCAATTCAGTCTCGCGAGGCAGGGAAGTGCAATTCTTACTTACTCTTACTTCTTCAAATTTTATTTAAGAGGGGAGGGGGATTTCCTAAAAAAATTCCTGATTCTGGCAATAATTCTGAAAAAAAGCAGTCAAACATTCAGACATACTATTAAAAAAAGACAGAAATCGATAACAGAAAAATTCTCCGTTTAATCAATTTTGAATATCTGACAAAAGTTTTGCTAATTATTTCTATGTTCACAAACAATTTATGGTTTACTGTCCTGGTAATTTAGTTGACATTACACTGATCCAAATTCTACATGCTTAGAATTTTAAGCTCTACTCTTATATGCACCCTAAGATCACCAAATGTGGCGATATGTGTTCTGCACTGGCTTTTGGCACAATTGCGTGCTGTATGGCAAGCCTTTTGCTGGAGTGGTTTAATTGCTCGTTGGTTCGTGTCGTGTGTGTTTTGAAATGGCCTATGTTGCAATGAGAGACGTAGTTGCAAGAGGGTCTGGGAGATTATTTTTAGTGGCTGTGCATGATAGAAGTAAGGAAACGCCGATGCAATTTATTAAAGACTGGATTGATCCTTGTACAACTATTTTTTCAGATGGCTGGAAATCTTACAAGGATTTAAGAAAAGAAGGTTTTTGAACATTTATTTGTGAACCATAGTATGAATTTTGTGGATAGCGAGCCCGACTGTCATATAAATACCATAGAGTATGTGGCGGCATGTTAAAGCTACATTTTGCTGTTCGAAGAAGTATCCATTATGGTAAGTGCATTTTATTTTATTGCGTTTATTTTGTAGAATGTTATGTTCATTGTTTTTTTACTAGGAATTTCAGTTGTTATTGTTTTTTTTTAATTATCTGTAATTTATTTTAGTTTATTTTGTTGATTTGTGCGCAATGCCTAGATTGTGCAATTCGTAGATTTTTTTTTCAGTTTAAACAGAATGCTGTGTACATGGTATTCTTGAAATTTATCGTTATGTTAATTTATTAAAGCAAGGTATGCGTAGTTTGTAGATTCCTTCGCTGGATAGATTGTGCAATTCATAGATTTTTTTAAAAATTAAAATATATCACTGTGTACATGGATTCTTGTCAAATATTTTTGGTTATAAACTTTACGTTTTTGCTATCTTTTTTTTTTTTTCTTCGGATTTTTAACTTAAATTGTGTGTTTAAAATGTGGTTTTTGGAGACAGTAATATGGTGCCGTGGAGTTCTCACCAAAAATGTTTGGTGAGAAATTTGTCGCCGCATTTGCCGACCTGACGGCCCATATGAGGGTAGTTCCGAATTTTACTTTTAGATTTCATGGTTAAATGAGACAGATATTAGGAGTGTCGGTGTCGGTGTATTTAATTATGGCAAAGCACACTAGGGCTATCTGCCTAAGAGGAGGGATTCCTTTCGTGGAGGACTTTCTACGGAAACTGGCTCGTATACACGTTACATATGGGGAAAACCACGAAAACACCCATGCAGCCAGCCCGTTCGCGGGATTCGAACCTCGGACCGAACTACCAGTGTTCAGCGACTTTACCACTCGGCCGCTGGTGGGCCCGATATTAGGAGTGAAATGCAGAATCGCCCTATTATTTGGAACATTTTGTTTGGCGCTTTTTACAAGAGTAAGAAGATTTGGGTGCTTCTTTCCCTTTTTAAGTGAAAATAGATTGATGTGTACACGGACAAAGTCAAGGGAGTGCACAATGCCGAGTTTGTGCAACTCTCCGATGTACTTTTAAGTGAAAAAAGATCGATGTGTACATGGATACAGAGTTTGTGTAATTCTTAAAAACACGCCAAGCAGTGGGTGATTCTTCACTTTCCCCGATATTAGAGTATTCAAAGCAAAACTAATACTAAAAACTAAAATAAAGAATAATAAATGGTTGATCTTTACAATATGGTAACTGGTAGTTTGGCGACAGTTTGGAGGCGATAAAGGTTACTACCTGGGACTTTGGTAATAATATGAGCAGTACTCAGTTCCGATTACGCATTATTTTGCGTGAGGGAAATGAGAGATCATGGGATATTAATGGACGAATTACGGTTCTTAATCGGAAAAGGGGGGAAATCGGGAAAAAATCTGGAAATTTTGTATTTAGCTTTATTCTGTGTCGTGTGAAACAGTGTTTGTTAATTTTTGGATCCCATGGCCCTAACTAAAGTGAATTCGAAATGGGTATTTAGGCATTGTGATAAAGAGAAGTTTGCTTTTTATTTAGCGGAGGAAGTATGGAGGAAAAATTCGCAGAAAAAATCTTTCAATAATTTTATTGAATGAATTAGAAAAGTGTATCCGCCACGTAATCAAGATTCTGAAGAAGATTAGGTAAGTTAGTATTTTTAATTATTTGAGGATATTATTTTTATGCATTGTTCTAAATGTAAGGTGGAAAGGAATTTGGTATTATTGGGAAAATTGTTATTAGCAATGATTTAGTTTAAAGTAATTAGGATTGTAAGGTAATTTTTATTAATTTAATGTATGTGCTCATTTATATTTTAAGTAGTGTTTTTGAATTTAATTATATTTTAATGAAATGATAGTTATTTTGTGAATTTTATGTTTGTAGGAATTTGGTATACGTTTTAGTTGAAGTAAACGTGCATGGAAATAATTTAAATATCTGACACTAAGTATTTGTTATGGTTGCGGTATGAATTCGTTGGTGACGTTTATAATATAATAGATGATTTAGAGGTAAAAGTTTTTGGATATTTTATTTATTTTATATGTGGAAATGTTCATATTTGGAAAGGGTAAATACTTTTTCGCGATCAGGTAATTTCATATATGTTCTTTTTACCGGGTTTAAAGATTGAGAAAATTGTCATGTATTTTCGTGAAATTTTTCTAATTTATGAGAAAAAAGCAGTGTACATGGATATAGTGAAGAGTGTGCGCAATGCAATTATTGTGCAATTCTGGGATGTTTTTTTAAGTAAAAATAAGTCGACGTGTACATGGTTTAGTGATATTTTAATTAAATGATAGTTATTTTGTGAATTTTATGTTTGTAGGAATTTGGTATACGTTTAAGTTGAAGTAAACGTGCATGGAAATAATTTAAATATTTGATACTAAGTATTTGTAATGCATGCGGTATGAATTTGTTGGTGACGTGTATAATGTAATAGATGATTTAGAGGTAAAAGTTTTTGGATATTTTATTTATTTTATATGTGGAAATGTTCATATTTGTAAAGGGTAAATACTTTTTCGCGATCAGGTAATTTCATATATGTTCTTTTTACCGGGTTTAAAGATTGAGAAAATTGTCATGTATTTTCGTGAATTTTTTCTAATTTATGAGAAAAAAAGCAGTGTACATGGATATAGTGAAGAGTGTGCGCAATGCCATTTTTGTGCAATTCTGGGATGTTTTTTTAAGGAAAAATAAGTCGGCGTGTACATGGTTTATGTGTATGTGTTATTTTGAAAAACACGTAAGGAGTATGGTATTGTGCACTTTTTCCCAATTTTGCAGTGAATATTTGTCATGATTAAGCAGTTTTGTTTGATAAAATTTCTAGCATAAGTGTAATTCGGCTAGTAGATTGTTGGAAGAAGTGTTCAGTAGATAAAAAGAAAAGAAACATGTCTTTACTTCGTGAAGACAAAATGGCTGCGGGGAAAAAAAAATAGAGGGTTGCTGTAAGAGAGTTGGTTGCCAAATTTTCGCCAAAAAATCGTTTTTACCATAATGTAAAGATCAACCTAATAAATATTTGTTACTAATTTAAATATTCTTTAAAAAAGTTTTAAAAATCTAAAGAATGACATAAAAATCATTCTAATTATTTAGTAATTCTAAACGTACGCATGCAAAATGTAATAAGTGAAAGCAGAAGTGAGAACGCATCTCAGGATTAAAAAAAATACTGTTACATTTACCGGCAATACATTTAAAATTGAAACAAAAAGCTCGACGTCTGCCTACTTACTTCTCTCTTGATTACAAAATAAACGAAAATTATTGATAATTGTACAATTTCTCGTTTCAGTACCCTTCAACATAAATTCCATCATTCATAAATTCGCCGGGCTAATCAATTGTTGCCAAACACCTTCCAGAAATTCGAATCATTTTAAGAGCACGGTTGGTGTCTACCAGCACTTTTTTAAAGTACGGTTGGTAAATCAATGTCCATTAGTAACAAGTGAGTTTCATTTGGATGCAGCATAGATGTTGAGTCAACTTTTCTTTCTAGGAGCCTTATACAGCCTATACTTTGATATAAATTGCTACCCGTCCAGTAGATTTAAAGGATTGCCCTTAAATCTTACATACCTTGACACACTTGATTTCTGTCTTCGTGAACGTACAAACAAGACGGCTCCCATTGATTGAATCAATGGGACAAATGGGACAGCCAATCAATTTGATTTGAGAATCAGTTTGATTCGATCGTTTTCACCACGAAATGATGTGTTGAGTGATCATTACCAGAACAATCGATCGCGAGCTCAGAGTGATCGTTGCCTTTAAATTGCAGTCGCAACCAAGGAGGTGGTCGCAACTGATGACGTATCACGACTAACTAAGTAGTAACTTAGTAACTATGGCTATTCTAACCTCCTTGGGGTATCTCTAGTAGTTCTACGACTAACAATCGCTAAATGTTTCAACTGAATGAGGCTTTTATAAATCTTACGTCATTTTCTGCAGAAATTTGTTTTATAATTAGTTGCTTTCTTCATTTCTGCCTTAACACAGCTTGTTAAGTACCTTGTATCCGGCATTACTTTGAAACAAATATTGTTCATATTTTTATCCTTGCACAAGAGAAGACCTTTGGAAACAGAAGGGTACATTTTAATTTTTCGCAATACCTGTAAATTTCTAAATTAGAAAAATCAATTAATTTTTGAGGCAAATCTGTTATAAATCTCCTGTTATAAATCCATCTGTTATAAATCTGCTCTATTGTAAATACACTACATGCGGAAATACTTGTTCATAATCGACGTAACCACATTTTCCTTCTCCTCCTCTTGCGGAATGTAACTCATAACTAGGGCGGACCTGACTCTTTTTTCCGCCTCCCACACATCCTTCCACACTACTCTTTCTCCTCCTACCTGATTCTTATCAGAAGTCGTGTAAAAAGATATTTCTACATCTTGACACTCGAGAATAAAATACGATCTTTGTGTGTAATAAATAATAATAATAATAAAACCTCTCATAGCCTTTATTTGACTAGCTGGCAAAAAGACGAAATGGAGGTGGAAGACGTATTGTTGATACATGTGGTTGTGTATGTGAGTGGCTATTTTATTGTTGTGTTGTGAAGGAAAGTATGAGGCCTCATAATTTTTTTTGTTGTATTCGAGAAGAAGTTTTGTAGGCCTTATACTTTATATTTTGTTTTGATATTTGTGCAATATTATTGTTCTAAATTTAAATTATATATGAAATTTTGTTTGCGTTATATTCTGATATTACGAAAGTTTAACATCGAGAACTGTATGGCGCGTATTGCCCAAGTTGCGGAACGCGATTTCAGGAAGCTCGCCATGCGCCGGTTATCTGAGGATTCCCATAAGCTGGAAGTACTCATGAAAGGTTGGCAGTAGGAAAGCTGAGTTTGAGACCTTGTATTCTGTTCTCTTAGTGCCTTCTGCAAGCACAGGCGACGTAAGCAGGCGCATAGGATACCAGAAAACTTCCTGTCACCAGTGGTAACTAAATAAAAGCATATTTCCTCGTGAATTATTAATATCTTGAATTTATATGAGGCGGATTTTAGTGTGGTTGAAAATGCTGGAGCTGAGACTGCTTTCTATAAAACGCTTTTGTTTAAATTTGGAATGCAGCATATTTAAATGAGACTTGTGCGGTTTGCATACAGAATCGAATTCTCCTCATAATCTCTGCACACATATTGGAATTCTAATTGCTAAATGTTTCGTATTAGAAAATGAATTTAACACATTTGGTAGCTATAAAAACCTTTCTCTAATGAACATAACAGAACTGCTGAGTTAAGCAAAATTATCGTAAAAATATATTTACGAGTACCTCTTGGCAATTTTTGCCAGCACATGGATACCGAGTTTGTGCAATTCTTTGACTTGTTATTTTGACTGCTAGATGAAGCAAAAATAACAAGACAAAGAATTGAAAAAAACTCAGTATCCATGTACACATTAACCTCTTTTCACTTAAAAAAACATCAGAAAATTGCACGAACTTGGCATTGCACACACCCTTGACTTTATCCATGTACACATCAACCTATTTTCACTTAAAAATAAATCAGAAAATTGCACAAACTAGGCATTGTGCACTCCCTTGACTTTGTCCATGCACACATCTAACTATATTCACTTAAAATGTCAGAGGAGCAGCCAACAATATATATATATATAATCTCAATAAACTACATTTTAAATCAAACAAGGAAATAACATAAAAAAAGGAAATTAATCTTTGGACTACACAAAGAAAATATCCACTTACCTTATTTAGAAATTTCCCTTTCTTCAGTCAAACAAAATTCCTTAACAGCATTCAAAAACTTCCTAAAATTATCTGAACTAGAATTTGCATATTGGCATCCCCACGTAAATTCACAAAATGAGAGTAAAAAATGTCCTCTGTAGCGCTGTTTGTTGTCCGATGTTCAACCATATGCATTTCCTTCCTACCAACAGGACACTTAATAATGGCTACTAAGTAAACTTTCATTTACACACCAGTCAAGTAATGCTCTTTTCCCCTTTCTTTCCAAGTTGTACAGAAACTTCAAATTAATCTTACCACATTTTACCATCTAAATCACAAAACAAGCAATGTACTTCCTAACCAACACACACACACAAGCCCTTATGAATTTACTGCGATCATGCAACCGTTTACATCATAATAGAGTTTCCATAACATTCAACTACTCAGGCTACCATAAATCAAACAACAACTTGGTGATAAATGAAACAACAACTTTGCGATAATGCAAGGGGTACCCCTCTCTCTAACCTAAATTATTATTAAAATCGTCTCACAGTTGTTTTGCTTTAATGCATTTGTAAAAGAGACGACTACATTCGGCTTACTATCACATAGAACCTATTAGTAAGAAGGTAGAGTAGAGAGAAGGGTATCCCTTGTATTATCTTGCAGTTGTTTCATTTATCGGTAAGTGATGGTTTATTTATGGTAACCGGAGTAATTGAATGTTATGGAAACCCTATTATGACATAACTGGTTACATGAATTGCAGTCAATTTGATTCATGGGAAAAGATATAAAAAGTGCGTGTCAAATTTTCAATGTTGTTGTTATTTCAATAAGTATGTTGTTTGTGAGTTACATGGTAAACTGGCTGAATGTGGTAAGATTTATTTGAAGTTCTGTCCGATTTAGAGCGAAAGGGAAAAAAGCATTAATTGACTGGTGTGTAAATGAAGGTTTGCTTAGTAGCCATTATTAAGTGTCCTGTTTGTAGGAAGGAAATGCGTATGGTCGTATTATATCGTTCCTACATAGGATATTTTTTATTCTTATTTTTGTGAATTTATGTGGTGACACTAGTATACATATTCTAGTTGAGATAATTTTAGGACGTTTTTGCATGCTGTTAAGGAATTTTGTTCGACTGAAGATGTTCGTAAATGAGGTAAGTGGATATTTTCTTTGTGTAGTGCGAAGAGGAATTTCCTTTTTTATGTTATTTCATTGTTTGATTTAAAATGTAGTTCATTGAGATTATATATTTTTTGTTGGCTGCTCCTTTGATTTTTTAAAGAATATAGCTCGATGTGTATATGGACAGAGTCAATGACTATGCAATGCCTACTTTGTGCAATTCTCTGATTTTTTTTTTTTAAGTAGGTCAATGTGTACATGGATAAAGTCAAGGGAGTGTGCAATGCCATGTTTGTGCAATTCTCTGATTTTTTTTTTTTAAGTGAAAATAGGTCAATGTGTTCATGGATACTGAGTTTTTTGTCTTAAGCCAAAATACCTAGTGAAAGAATTGCACAAACTCGGTATCCATCTACCACCAATTTTTGCCAAGGGGTACAATTTTTTTTTTTTTTTGTTTTTTTTTTTTTTTTTTTTTTTTGTTTTTAATTTTTTTTTTTTTTTTTTTTTTTTTTTTTTTTTTTTTGTTTTTTTTTTTTTTTTTTTTTTTTTTTTTTTTTTTGCTTTTACCAGAGAGAATGCATGGTGAATCTTCGGATTAACTTAAATTGGCAATTTTTTGGTGACCAACCCTGCTACAGCAACCTGCGAGTTTTTTTTTTTTTTTTTTGGACGCCATGTTGTTTTCACGAAGTAAAAGCATGTTTTTTTTTAACTCAACATTTTTTACAACAATCTGCTAGCTGAATTACGCTTATGCTAGAACTTTATGGAACAAAAGTATTTAATCGTTACGAAGATTAGCTGCGAAATTGTTTCTAAGTTCTTGTTAGCTAAAATCACGATCGGAATTTTCTGGAAAGCCCATTTTCACCGCATTTTTTGACCGCCATTCATACTTATCTATAATATCCTTCCTTTCACACAGTCTCATTTCTTTCCCACATGTTGGACATTTATACTTATCTGCAATTAATATATCTCATACACGATTCAAGCAACTCTTTTGGATGATCACATAAATGCAGTAAAAATTTGGAATTTACTTTAGAGATGGCCATGGGATCCAAATATTAAGCAACACTGTTTCACACAAGATACAAGATGGAATATACTTCTCAGATTATTGCTAAAGTCCTAGCTAGTAACCTTTATCGCCTTATCAAAATGTCGCCAAACTACCTGTTACCATATTCCAAAGATTAGCCTAATGCATTTTTTACTCGTTAAGTTCAACACCAGCTAATAAGAAATGGTTTTAGCATTACTGTTTAAGCGGAAGTTATTGCTGAGCAGAACTACGTAATATTATGCATATATAAGTCAAATTTAGCCTGTTATTTATATGACATAAGTCATATGTAACTTATTTGTATGTATGTTAAGTGAAAGTTATTTTTAGGTAAGCTTAAAGTTAGCAGACAAAGTATAATATTTACTGTATATGAATTAGGTGAATACACATAGTATTTTTGTGTATGAAACAATATAAGGTGTGAAAGCTAGATATTTAGGTTACGGGAATTAGTTCAAAGAAAAAGCATGATATTAAATTAGGATTAAAGAAAAGTAAATGTTAGTTATTGAAATTGATATAGCCCCCCCCAAGCATTTCCTCAAAGCTCTTGATGTCAAAACTATACCATAAAGAAAATTTCCGGAGACATATAAACCTTACAGGAAACCATTCTTTAATCGAATTTAAAGTTTCCATGACTGTATCTTGGCTATTATGTTTAATTTCATGCCAAAACAAGTATTCAAGCTAGTAGTTTTCTAGATTTTATTTATGAACGCTATTTGACAACGCCACTTACAGAGAGTATAAAATAAGAATTAGACAAAATGGTAGAAGAATAAATTATATGAGGCAATATATATGAAGGAAATCAAAGAAAGTGAGGGGGAACTTAAAAGAAATGGTTGTTACCTCTA